CTGAAAGGGTTCAGCAGGTGGTGGTCATGGTCAGATTATGGTGATCATGACTGTCCCCTAAACAGGCATTGGGGGCAACAGGGAAGAAGCAAGCGTGACAGTGGAGAGCCAGGCAATGCACCCATCCTGGTCAGAGGAGACAGGCACTTGGCGCAGGGCGTGGTGGAAACCAGGAGGTGGACAGAGGGGGTGAAAAATGGATTGGATTCAGGACAAAAGGAGAGCTACGGAGGCGCGCCAGGAACACTGGTCTCATTCACCACAGAGGGCACTTTGAAAGAGAGCCAGTTAGGGGACAGGCCACGGTTTGACCTGGCACCCACGCAGAACTATTTCTGGCCGGGGTCCAGAGCTTAGGGATGGGTCTGGGCCGGTGGCAGGCTCTGGGGGTCAGAGCAAGCAGGGCACCTTCGGGAGAAGGGAAGTCCTGGGACCGGGAGCAGGCCCGCGCCGCAGGGAGGCGCCTCTCCAGCCTGACTCCCTGGCATCCTAGCCGGAGACAAGAATGTCCGGTCTGTTGCAGGCCCTGAAGGAGTCTGGAGACTGGAGGTGGCCCGGCTCTCCGCAGGACAGGCCTTTCCCTAGCAGGGCAGGCCCGGCAGGGCCAGGGGGAGGCTACCAAGTGCCCTTGGCTCCTCCTCCTCCAGTCCGCAAGTGATTCGGAAAGGCTCTCTTTACCTCCACCCCTCGGTCCTAGGACCGCCCCGCTGAGCTGGTTTGTACGGTGGCGACGGCTCCCTAAACATTCAAAGGGCGCTCTCTCGGCTGCTTAAGGCTGTGCCCAGCCTCCCCATGAACGCGCATCTGGCTCCCCCTGGTGGTCGATGAGCGTGTTGCCAAGATAAGAAGTGGGTGCTGCAGAGAGCTCCGTGACCCGGCACAGGGCGGTGACTCAAGTCCTAGCTGAGAGCTCAAGATACATGCGCTGTGCTATCTTGTGGTATTGGCGGATGACTCACTCCTTAGCCATGGATGAGTCCCCCGACCTCTGTGAACTTCTGTTTCCACACCTGCAAATTCGGGCGCATGGTAAGAGTGAGGCTTTTCTTGAACTAACAATTAAACTCTTGCTGGTTGCAAGTCTCCTCCCCAGCAATACCATCTGTGTTACACCGGCCCCTTCCCAAACTGCTCCACCTGGGCACAGCATGCTGGACAAGGCTGGTTGTGTCCAAAACTTTGAGAACCACTTAATCGACAGCACCAGGTCCTTGCCTTCAGAGTGCATACAAGTGGAAGGAGACATACAGCAAAATGTGAGAGGCCAGTGGAAAACCTAGCACAGTGTGCTTGTGAAATCTAAGAGGGAATTGTATTTATTTAGCACAGGGCCTCCACCTTGAGCCATACCCCCTATACCCCCTTTCTGAGATAGGGTCTTGCTATTATATTAGTTCAGGCTGGCCTTGAACTCACAGTGATCCTCCGGACTCAGCCTCTTGGAAGCTGGGATTAGAGACATGTGTCACAATGCCTGTCCTCAGTCCTTCTTATCGTTTTTTTTTTTTTTTTTTTTTTTTGTCTTTTTCCTTTTTATCAGTACCGGGGATCGAACCCACGACTGCCTGCTTGCAAGGCAGGTGCTTATGCCGCTGAGCTAAATCCCCAGCCCCTTTATCATTATTATTTTGAGACAAATTCTTGCTAAATTGCCCAGGCTAGGCTTAAATTTACAATTCTCCGCCCTCAACCTCCCAGGGTATTACAATTACAAGTATGTAGCATGATTTTTTCTTGAGTTTAAATAAAATATATGTAAACTTTATCCAGGCATAGTGGCACAAACCTATAACCCCAGCACTTTGGGAGGCCAAGGCAGGAGAATCACAAGATGCAAACGAGAATGAGCAACTTACTGAGATCCTGTCTCAAAATAAAAAATAAAAATTCTGAGGCAGGAGGATCACTGTGAGTTCAAGGCCATCTTGGGACCCATAAGTGAGTTCAAGACCAGCCTGAACTACACAGTGACAGCCTGTCTCAAAAAGGCGTGAAGGCCCTGCATTCAGTCCTTCTAATACTAAAATAAACAAAAAATAGATAAATGTAAGCTTGAAGTTAGCCCAGATGTATTACCTACCTTTCACAAACATTGTGACTGGGTTCCATGTGGCAATTAATTGGAAGAAATTCTACTTATATAACTGGCACCTCTCAATCTTTCTCTCTCTCTCTCTCTCTCTCTCTCTCTCTCTCTCTCTCTCTCTCTGTCTTTATCTCCGTCTCTCTCTTATGAGGATTGAATCCAGGGCCTTGTACCTGCCGGGCAAATGTTCTATGTCTTGTTGTCACCACCCTTCTTTTATTTTGAGACAGAGTTGAGACTGTGTTGAGACTGTAGTTTGAGACTGTGTTGTCCAGGCTGTCCTCAAACTTGGGATTCTCCTGCTTCAGCCTCCCAAGTAGCTGAAATTATAGGCTGGGCCACCTGTCCTGCCAACTGATCTCTTGATATACACAGTCTCGATTACATATGCTTATTTTGAAAGTAATTCCCTAATAGTTTGGAATCATGCAAGCTCACTTGCACTCAGGTGCCTCCAGCTCCATGACACAACATATTTCTGAAATTCAGCAGTCATCACAGAACAAATACTGGCAACATAGCATTATAGAGATGAAGGAGGAAACCTTAAAATACTTCCGTTCTAAAATGTCATGTGATAGTTTTTGCCTAACAGACACTTCCCATATTGAAATTACCACTCTACTTTCTGTCTCTATAAGTTTGATTACTAACTTATATCTCATATAAGTGAGATCATACAATATTTGTTCTTTTGTGACTGGCTTATTTCATTCAAGAGATGTCCTCAAATTTCAGCCATGTTATAGCCTGTGTCAAGATTCCTTCCTCCTAAGGATACATTCCTCTATCATTGGACATATCAGTGGCTGCCACCTTTCTTGAATGCTGCTGTCAACAAAGATGTACAAATAATGTTTCTGAGTCCATGGTTTCTAATTCTTTTGGGCATACATCCAGGAGTGGAATTACTGGATCATATGGCAGTTCTATTTTTAATTTATCGAGGAACTGCCATACTGTTCTCCATAGCAGCTGCACCATTTTACATTCCCACCAACAATGCACATGGTCTCAAATTTCTCCACATCCTTGAACCACCACCCCCCCTTTTTAAATCTGTAACAGGGATCGAACTCACGACTGCACGCTTGCAAGGCAGGCGCTTATGCTGCTGAGCTAAATCCCCAGCCCCCTTCCTCCCCATTTTTTTTTAACACTGATAGCCCTTCTAATGGATGTAAAATGTGAAGAAATATCTCATTGCATCTTTATTGTGGTTTGATTTGCATTTAGTAAATGTCGAGAATCTGTTCATGTGTTTATGGGCCATTTGTACATCTTTCTTTTATCTCTCTCTCTTTTTTGGGGGGTCTGGTTTGTTTGAGACAAGCTCTCTCTAGTTAGTCCAGGCTGGTCTTGAATTCACTATGTAGCCCAGGCTGGTCTTGAGTCTGCAATGATCCTCTTGCCTCAATCTCCTGAGTGCTGGGATCACAGGAGTGTGCCACCACACCTTGCAATCGTCATGCAATATTAACATGTAAAAAATGAAATAAAGGGCACATACTGAGGCATTCTTACCTGGTAGCTGTCATGCTCTTCCCTTCTCTGTTCCTCTCCAAAACCCAGGGCTTTTGCACAAGCTGCCCCCTGTACCTGGGACACTCTCCCCCGCCTGCCCTCCTGTCATTGGCTGTTCAGATGTTAGCCATCACTTAACAATCACCTTCCAGGAGACCCTTTTTGACCCAGGCTTCTGAATCCACTCAAGCACGACAAACCTTCCACTGTAGCTCTTTACCTAGTAAATGGTCCTCTGCCAAAATGTGAGTCATAAAGGCAGAAATGTTTCAGCCTCCCGCTGCACTGCGTTTATCCTAAACCAAGCCCTGGTGTGCAGTAGATGCTGTCTGTGTGCAGTAGTGGTGGGCAGACAGAAACGTGCTTAACTCTGGGGCTGGGGATTTAGCTCAGTGGCATAAGAGCCTGCCTTGCAAGCAGGCAGTTGTGAGTTCGATCCCCGGTACCGATAAAAAGGAAAAAGACAAACAAAACAAAACAAAACAAAAAAAGGTGCTTAACTCTGTGGCACCTAGAGCAAGCAGGGGAGCTGGGGCTAATACTAAGTGGGTAGAGTTTCAGTGACACATTAAGAGGCAGAGTAGAATGCGGCCCTGTGCCCTGGAAGCAAGGCAGGAATCATGTCCTAATGGCTTGGTCCTGATAAGCCAGAGGCTTGTTCCTTCTCCCACAGGGTGGAAATCTACTGAAGGCCTTTGGTGGGAGGTAACACAGTCAGACGAAGCTGGCCTCAGTGCCACGGCAGGTGGCAGTCAAGACTGAAGATAGTTATGAGGCCACACCAATAAAATATCATTAGGCTGCAGGGCGTGGTGGTGCACATTTGTATCCCACCACTCTGAGGCTGAGGCAGGAGGATCACCATGAATTCAAGGCCACTCTGTACTACATAGTGAGCCGCTGTCTCAACAAATCCAAACCAAACCAAAATTGTCACTAAGTCAGGAGAGGTAGAGCAGGAGGATTGCTAGGAGTTCAAGGCTGGCCTGGGCTATGTGGCCAATTCAAGACTAATCTGAATTACACTGTGAGACCCTGTCTCAAAAAATAAAAATAAAACAAAACGCCACCAGACTTTTCAATGGTGCTAGGAGCAGGGCATGAACAGGCTGCTCCAGCACCCACAAGGCGAGGTACCCAGGCCAGCCAGTCAGAGGAGTTGCCAGGCGGAGGGGGTGACGTTGACATCAGCCTCCCAGTGTATAAATGAAGGAGTTGCAGTGGTGAGCAGTTCCTTTCCCTCCAGCCTGAGGCAAGGCTCTGCGTGATCCCCGATTGCTGTGTTTCAGTTATGTCACCTTCCCTGTCCTCACCCTGGGAAGTCTGAGAGCCTTGCAGGTCGCAGCAAACCTGCTAGGTGTGGATGAAATAAAAGGACACGGATGCCACGAAGAGCTCACTGTCTTGGCTTTAATTTCTCCTCTCTTTATTCATCCCAAATTCACTCTACAGAGCTAGTTTCCCCCTTACCCTTTACTTTTAATTTTTTAAATAAACTCTGCCACCATTTTTGCTTGTTTCATTCGATTCTTTGTTCAAAATGGAAAGAACCTGGAAACCACGACACAAACACCCTAAACAATAACAATAACAAACCTAGGCCACTGGGGGCTGTCAGGCGAGGTGTATGGGACACACAGCAAGAGGTCTGAGCTGAGCCCTGTATCCCAGTAATCAATCTGAACGGGAAGACTCTGGACACAGGGCTCTGAATGCTGAAAAACAGGATCGGAGCAGAGGTCACAGGCTGCTGGCCTTGGAGCAGAGGGCACTGGGCTCAGTGGGAGTCATGAGCCTGCTGTCACTTGCTGCCCAGGGCAGAGCTAGGCATGGGAAGCTGCCCAGCCCCCAACTGTTTTGTAATAGCTGTTGGACTGGCAGAGAGGAGAAATGTAGGGCACTGGGGATGGGCAGGAAGGAAGCGGTCCCTGTAGAGGGAGAGGTCACTGGCATAGACTCACAGGGTCTCGGGCCCCAGGGTGAGAGGAAGAGCTGGGCTGGAGCTCCTTAGTGAGCTCCAGCTCACTTAGTGGCTCCTTAGCGAGCCACACAAGCTGGGGAGTGGAGACCTGGCAGGGCCTCAGCATTGCTGCTCGCCTGTCTTCTGGCCCTGTTCCCAGCGGAGGTAGCTGGAGTGATCAGTGCAGGTGGGGAGCACACAGCCACAGCTTCATCTCTCGTCTTGGAACATGAGGATCCCGCCAGAGTGAATGGCACGGCAGGTAGTGAGACATGGAGACCATGCGACCAGCAGAGAGATAAACAGGAAAAGCTCCAGAGAGGCAGACCTGTGAAGCAGGGCCAGAGACAAAAATAAAAGACCAGAGGCCACAAGAAGAGTGTTGTGGGGACAGAGGGGCCTATAGCTACAGAGCAAGCTGCCCTTTAGCTCTTCTCAGGCCCTGAACTGTTTTCTCCCAGCATGCTCCTGTCACACAGTTCCTCAATTCTGCACTCCTGACGTCTGGAGAGGAGGAGGATTTCTGCCCCTGTGCCCAGTTACCAGCATCCATGGCCTTTCCCATTACCTGCAAGCAGTGTATCCCTCCATGCTCCTGGGACTGTAACACCCCAAAACATCTCTACACGTTTCCAGGTGTTCTCTGGGAAGGGGTTGCTCCATTTTTAACATTCTCTGTCCCTCGAGTAGATTTGCACTCTTGAAAAGGGGCAGTGGCTGGGTGTCTAGTGGACTGTCCCTCCCATCAGCTCTTGTGCACACTAACCCCAGCCCCCTACTGTTCTAACTTGGAAGCAGGGAAACTAAGGTGGGGTTTGAGGAACTGCTGAAGTCAGGGGGACAGCAGCAAACAAGGTCCTGGAACTTCTGTTCTTACCCTAAAAGGCACTGCAGCCAGGAGTAGTGGCACATGCCTGTAATCCCAGCACTTGGGAGGCTGAGGCAAGAGGATCACTGTGAATTCAAGGCCACCCTGGGCTAAATAGTGAGACCCTGTCATAGACAAACAAACAAACAAATTCCAAAAACATTGCAGTTGTATTTTGGGATTATACAGATGTTTAGTCAGGGAGGAAAGGAGAGAAGCCCTCAAATATATGTGGACAAATTACTCACAGCAAATATGTCTTCCAGCTGGGTATAGTGGCACACACCTGTAAGTCCAGCACTCGGGAGGCTAAGGCAGGTGTTCAGATGTGAGTTTGAGGCCAGCCTGTAATGCGTGCATGGTCAGCCTGAACTACATAGTGAGATCCTGTCTCAACCAAAACCAAAACCAAAACCAAAAATGTGTTTTATCCTGTAATATTAGATGTCAGACATGTCCCATTTAGTTATTTCTCTAAAGTGGATTATCTGCTCCAGGCTGATGGAAAATTTGACATTGGAATTTTTTAAAAAGGGTTTTTTGGGACAGGGTCTCACAATGTAATTCAGACTGGCCTTGAATTTACTATGTAGCCCAGGCTGACCTCGAGTTCATAGTGATCCCCTTGCATCAACCTTCCCAGTGCTGGGATTACTAGTGTATGTCACTACCCCCAGCTTTAATCATAGTCATATTTTGGAAATCTCTATCCAGTGATGTGCTAGTAGTGTTTACAGGTAAGTAAGCAGGGGATGCATTAGTAATGAATAATTGTTAGTATTTGCTGGTTTCCATGGTATAAATATTTCCACTATAGCCAGTTTCAAACTGCCAATGAGATGCAACAAGGTGAGAAATAGCATACCACTGAGATGTGAACAACCTCAGACAGGAACAGGTAATGGTGACTAAGAAGTGCTATTACCTCTGAACTTTGCTTTCTTTCTTTCTTCTGTGTTTTGTTTTGTTTTATTTTTGAGACAAGGTCTGTGTAGTATAGGCTAGAACTCAATATGTGGCCAGCCTGGCCTCAAATTCATAGTGTTTCTCCTGCCTTAGCTACCCTAGTGCTGGGATTACAAGTGTGTACCCAGATGAACATACATTAGTTATAAATTTATAATTTAAAATTTTATAATGTCTATTCCCCTGAAGCACTGTTTATGATTCCTGGGGGGTTACCCAACTTAGACCATTTAGGGGAGAACTGTGATCCTCCTGGTTCTGCTTGGCTTGGACACAGTATTTTACTGTGACTCCCAAAATAGTCACTCTTGGTGTTCACACACCTACCCTCTCCTGCCAAACAGCAGCGCCACAGGCCTATACCAAGTGCTGGGGGATCTGGGAGGGAACCGTGCAGATTACTACTAACTCAAGGAAGGGAAAGCAGCAGCAAAAGACAGGCAGACCCCTTTTGGCTTTCTCAGGCTTGGAAGAGTTTGTTAGACCTCCAGTCCTCACTTTTCCTCTGCTGGGGAGCTGGAGGCCATACACTCCAGAGTAACCAAGCTCCACTGTCTCCTGGAGCCAGTCCCAGGTAAATAAAAGCCCTGGCTGAGGGACATCTGGCAACCTCTGCTTTTCACCTGGCAACATAAAGTCTTTTTTTTTTTTTTGTCTTTTTTTTCGGTACCAGGGATCAAACTCATGACTGCCTGCTTGCAAGGCAGGAGCTTATGCCACTGAGCTAAATCCCCAGCCCCTAACATAAAGTCTTTAGTAGCCTCAGATCCACCCTTACATCCACAGAAAGGAAACCAAGATCAACCACGGCCTCAGTCCATTTCTCTCCTGCATAGTCAGAGCAGGGTAGTGGCAGAGACCAGCTGAACCTTTAGACTGTAGAAAAGAAAGATTCTGGCTAGACTCAACAGAAAGTTCTTGGCCTCCCTTACAGGCAGGACCTGTGTGTAAAGGGTAAGCAGTCTCCTCTCCAGGTTGCCCAGTGACCACGTGCCTCGCCTCCCCCACGCTCATGTAACTTCCTCTGCTGGCTCCCTAGGAAGTTGTATGAATAGCTGAGTGCTTGGACCTTGTAAGACAGTTGTCTTATTTTACACATGAGAAAACAATGGAGGCCCAAAGAGAAAAAGTCACTTGCTTAAAGACACACAGCTAAATGAGTAGTTGATGCTGGAATGTGAACTCAGATCTGACCCTAAAGCCTGTGCTCTTTGTGCTGTGTAACCTTGTCTTTGATCTGTAGTCTCTCCAACCACAGCCTCCACCATTTCCCTGTAAAGGAGTTGAAGGAAGGAGAGAGCATGAATTTATTGTTGAACTGAAAAATGACACCTTTGTGTCAGTTATTGCCAACCAGACACAAGGATATTTTAAAGCTTAACATTATTAAAGTCTTTCTCTCTAAGCAAGATAAAGAATTTCTCAGTCTTGACCTTGTGGTGAAGGGGTGTCCTGTGCACCTCAGAGTGTTTAGTGGCATCCCTGGCCTCTACCCACTAGCTGTCTATAGTAAACTCCCTAGGCAGTGGGTATGGTGGGGAGAGATTGTGACAATCAAAATTGTCTCCACGAGAACTAGCAGTGTCTCCTGAGATCCATGCCATGTTGGAACTTAGGACTCTGGGAAGCCAAGCCAGCACCTCCCCTCCCTGGTAAGTGGCTGTAGTGTGGACCACTGCAGCCCTTCCAGGGGGAGAACTAGCAGTGTCTCCTGAGATCCATGCCATTCTGGAACTTAGGACTCTGGGAAGCCAAGCCAGCATCTCCCCTCCCTATAAGAGGAGGCAGGGTGGCAGACTGCAGCCCTTCCAGGGGAAGAACTAGCAATGCCTCCTGAGATCCACGCCATGTTGGAACTTAGGACTCTGGGAAGCCAAGCCAGCACCTCCAAAAAAAAAAAAAAAAAATCAATGTATATTATATGCAAGTTGCAATACACCAAAATGTAATCCACTATTCTGTGCAATTTACATGAACTTATAAAATCATTTTCAGATTCTATAAAAAAAATTCAGTGTGAACAATAAACATAAATATTGTATTTAAAAACAAACAAACAAAACAAAACAAAATTGTCTCTACAATTGTCAAATGTCCCTCTGTTAAACACTGAGTTGGACCAATCATTTATGAATGAAAATAAAAACACCCTATCAACCAAACTGGTCATAGGAGTTGTATCACTCAGTTTTCTGCTATTCTAACAAAATACCAGATCCTGGGTAACATATAAAAAAGAGAGGTTTATTTAACCTCCAGTTTTAGAGGCTGAAAATCCAATATTGGGCAGCTCCGTTGGTTTGACCTTTGATGATGGCCTTCTGGATACAGATCACAACATGGCAGATGGCATTGTGGCAGGAAGGGTTGGAGTAGGAGAACAGTCACATAGAAAGACAGAAAACAAAGGGGATTTGGATTCAAGGACCAAGCTCTCTTCCTTTTTTCTTTTTGTCTTTCTTTTCTTCTTTTCTACTTTTTCTCCTCCTTTCCTTGTGGTGCTAGGGATTGAACTCAAGTCTGTGCACGCATCACTGAGCTACATCCTCAGTTCCTCTTATTACTACTATTTTTTATTATATTGCAGTACCAGATATTGAACCCAAGACTTGTGCACTAAAATATATCCCCAGTTCTTTTAATTTAATTTCTTTTCAAACAGACTCTTGCTAACTGGCTAAACCCCTCAAGCTGGATTTGAATTTGTGCTCCCACCTCAGCCCCCAGAGTGCTGGGATTACAAGCCTGTGTCACCACGCCCAGCTTGTTTTAGTAATCAAACTACTCCTACAGGAATGAACTGGAGTTCCTCAAGAACTACACTAGTCCCCATAACCTAACCACCTTCCACTAGCCCCCATCTTTTTGTTTGATTTTATTTATGTATTGATTTTTGGTGGTGATACTGGGGATTAAACCTAGGGTTTCATATAGAGCTATATTCTTAGCCCTTTTTTATTGCGAGACATGGAGTCCTTAGATTGCTAAACTGCCCGGGCTGGACTTGAACTTGACATTTTCCTGTCTCAGCCTCCCAGAGAGCTGGGATTTACCTGTCTGTACTACCACGCCCGGTTTAGGCCTCACCTCTTAAGGATTCTACTACCTCAACTCCACCATACTGGAACCAAGCCTCCAGCCCATGAAATTTCGGAGGATAGAGTTAAACCATACCCAAATCATAGCTGTAATAAATGAAATGTACTTGTGAGGAGGAGGGTCCCTGCTCTGAAGCAGCTTGAGGAAGATGGGTCAGTGAGGTACAGGCAGGGTTTCTGAAGCAAGTGAGTCAGGGATGGCTTTTAAGGTCTCAATTCCAATGCACTGCTCCTCTGAGGCCACATGCTTTGGCTTTCGTAGGAACAACTGGTTGTGTGGGACCCCGGCACTATGAAATTAACTGCTAGGAGAAGTTGTGTTCTTTTTCTTTCATTTATTTATTCATTGAGACAGCGTCTCGTGTAGTTCTGGCTGGCTTTAAACTCACTACATAGTCCAGGCTGACCTCAAACTCATGTTTTTTTTTAAACTATTTTTTTTTGTCTTTTTGAGACAGTGGAAAAATAAATAAGTAAATACATACATACATTGGACTGGGAATATAGCTCAGTAGTACAGCACCCCTGGGTTTGATCCCCAGCACACACACCTAGGCCAGGCATAGTGATATATGCCTAACATCCCAGCAGTTTGGGAAGCTAGGACAGGAAGATCACAAATTTGAGCCCAATCTGGGTAACTTAGTGACTCAATGGGAAATCAAAAATAAAAATGGGCTAGAGATGTAGCTCAGTGTACAGACCCTGAGTTCAATCCCTCCCTCCACCAGGAGAAGCAGCATGCATCTAAAAAGCAGCTCTTGGGCTGAGGATGTAGTTAAGTAGTGAAAGGAACCACATAGGATGTGTAAAGATTTGCTCTCTCTCTCTGTCTCTCTCTCTGTCTCTGTCTCTCTCTCTGTCTCTCTGTCTGTCTCTGTCTCTCTGTCTGTCTGTCTGTCTGTCTGTCTGTCTCTCTCTCTAAGAGACAGAGAGAGAGAGACAGGGTCCCATTATGTAGTTCAGGCTGGCCTTGAACTCACTTTATATAGCCCAGGCTGGCCTCAGACTCACCGTGATCCTGCTTCCTCAACCTCGCGAGTGCTAGAATTACAGGTGTGCACTATACTATGACTCCTGGCTTGAAGGCCTGTTCTTTGTTTTGCTTATAGTTTTTTATACTGGCGATTGAACTCACAACCTCGCAATCGTCAGGCAGGTGTTGAAGCCGTGTTTTCAATCCCCAGCACTGCTAATAAATAAGTAAATCTGGGGCTGGGGATTTAGCTCAGCGGCATAAGCGCCTGCCTTGCAAGCAGGCAGTCGTGAGTTTGATCCCTGGTACTGATAAAAAGGAAGACCACAAAAAAAAAAAAAAAAAAAAGTAAATCTCAGCTCTGATACCTCCCTGAACATTAAAATCTCTTGGGTCAGCATTTTTATCTTTTTCCTTTTTATCGGTACCAGGGATCGAACTCACGACTGCCTGCTTA